CCCCCAAGCCCTAATTATTTCCCTCTAGCATAGTATCTATACAGGATCCAAAGCAATACACCACTGTGAGCAATTTGTAAAATTGGAAATGTTCGACTTTGCTACAAAGTACTACAGAGTTTACACGTATTTTCCAACTGTCATTAAACATGAAAGTAGGAAAGTATTTTCTCAGAGCAGCGAGTACAAAAGCTTTTATGCAGTGGCTGGATGTGTCACATAAAGTGGCAATAGAAAGGAGTGAAATGGGTATTTTATTTGAAGGACAGACAACAATGTAGAGCTTTAACAAAAAACTCCATTAAAGGGGACCTATTATGCCTTTCCTCTTTTTCTGAAGTACACATACTGTTATAATGGTGGATGCTCATTAAACATGACCGAGGTTTCAAATAATCGGCTCGCCGTGTAAACACATAAATCCCTTGAGCCAAACCTCAGGCTTCAGACTGCTCCAAAAGGGTCAGTTTCTACTCTGGGCTCTGTATGACATCACATGAGCAGATATCCCTAATATGGCTGTCAGCACACAAGCTCCGCCCACCTGCCATGCTAATTTTTGATTCTGAGAAGCAGCCAATCAGAAGAAAGACATATTAATACACACATTAAGGATAGGTGTCCAAATTCTGACTTGTAGTACAAACATATGGAGTTACAAGCATTTGCAAGTGCACCAAAGCCCCCAGTATAAGAGAAATGACGGTTATTTTGAACTGCGAATGATAGAAGGCTGTTCTAGTAAAGTCTAAATATCTACTGGGCATGTAAAATCTGTGCAAATATTTCATGTGGTAAAAATATTTTTCGGACTCATCTACTGTTAGTGATGAATTTGTAATTCTGCTGGATGAATTTGCAGCTTTTTTTTTTTCAGATCAAGCTTGATTTTTCCGGGTCCACCCCCCCCCTTCCTTTTCTTGGGCAAAAACATCAGTACCAGCTCGCTGTCGCATGTCGACTTAATTTTTTCCGTAGTGAGGATAAATTACTTGCAAAAAACATAACACCTACAGTGTGTATATACGTTACATGAGAAATTGGCATTAAAAAAAGTGGTCATTTCATTTTTTTGGGCAATGAGCTTGATGCATAAAGGCCTTAGGAAAAATAAATAATTTTTTTAAATCCTATGCTGTAGGCTTTTTTAAGGCTGTTTGAGAGCTTGATATTCTAGCAGGAATTCTGCTTGGATGCTTTTCATGCTGCATGAGGACATGCAATGTTTTCAGCAAACAATCTCCACCTGGGCGTTCAGCTTCCTGTAATAGAAATTAAAGTTGAAAACAAGAAGAAGAAAAATAAGTGCAGTGCTACTGATTATGAATCACTGAAAAAAACAAGATAGTTCAAGAACAAAGAATCTGTGCTCCAAAACATATTTTTGAAAAAAAACAAAAAACAGGATTCCCTGCTGTTTATTCTTTAATACACTTACACCTGATTTGAATTGTTTTTCAATTGCAGTGCAAATATTGATAAATCCCCAAGTATTCATAAATGAAAGTAACAGACTGCTAATCCACCCTCCTGCCTCACTGTTCAGCAACATCTCATATAAACTGGATTACTAGCCGTCTTTTAATGGACGAGCAGGGAGGTCATCCCCATTGTCTCGTTAGTCAGTACGGCATTTCACAACGGCGGCTGCAAGTAACAGCTGTCGAAGCTCATTACTCGACTGATTTTATAGGACCCTGCTTTGTCATTCCAGCTACATTCCTAACTTGGCGGTTAGGAACTGAACATTAGCCCGACTCTCTCAGCGACCTTTGCCCTGCCTCGTCAGCCGGTCAACATTTGATCTTTGAACTCTCACCCTGTCTGTCGACTGCTGTTTTCCTTCCCCGTACATTTTTTTTTGTTTTTTGCACATCTCATCCACATGTTAGAGCTCTGTAATTACAGCTGTCACTCTTACATCCCTACTCATCCACATTTTGTTTTCTCTCTCTCCCTCTCTCTGTTTCTCTAAAAACCCACTCAGAGTCACGAACAGAGCAGATGAAGAAAAAAAGCCTCTTAAATTCATTTCCCAGTTTGCTTTGCTGAAGGTCAGGCTGGGAACGAGCCAGCATCTCTGGTAATTGGGGAGCATGTCTTTGTGTGTGTGCGCGCGTGTGTGCGCGTGTATGGGTTATTGAAAACACTTTTCCTCTCTCTTAGTTTGCAGTCTAGCAAAGTAACATTATGATTAAAACTGGATGTTGTAGTTTCATCATTTGCACGACTCCAGCTGTATTCTAGCTCTCAGTGCCCGCACCTTTTTCATTGGGCTGTTCTTTTGGCCAGCCATTAATGCACGCTGCATGTGAATGGAAACGTTGGTTACTAGTCAGATAGTCATCTTAGGAGATTTTATGTACTATAACGATTTTTTTTGAGAATTCTGGGGTTTAATTTTTCTTTCTTTTTTTTTGTTCCATCAACCTTGAGCTCTAGTCTTTTTCATACATACAGGTTACATACAGGTTACATACATACAGGTTACAGGGATACAGGTTTTAGCTGTGGTTACTTTTGTTTTCATTTTTATTTTTTGGAAAGATTTTTATGTTCTCAGCAGGGGTGCAACCAAGGTTTTGCCAGAGGGGGGGCACTGGCCACTACTATGGCCACCCTAATTGCCAGAATTTTCTGGCAATTATTTCATGCTTCAGGCTTTACAGCCGTAAACAAGAATAATTATTTAAGGACTTTATATTACATAATAATATATAGAGATATGTAGCACTCATGCCTTCATAAGTAAATGACAAAAGAGATCAAAGTGACCAAAAAATTGGTTATTTGGACCTCAGTTTCTGTACCACCCCAGTCTATGTAATAGTGTCTAATAGTCTCAGCCTGGCCACCTCTATAGAAATGATCTTGCTCTGCAGCTGGAGCACTGAGATCCATACACGCATACACTTCATTATTTTTTTTAAATAAAGTAATCAGGTAGAAGATATCACCGAACACAATTTAGTGTACAATATTAAAACTAGGTAAAATACCCATGTGAGTGGGTATAAATACACCCACACACAAAGCAGTAATGAGGACCAGCGACAGACACCCGTGGGAGCTGCTTGCTCTGCTTGTGTTCAGGTTATAAGGAGGGGTTGTTCTCCATTTTGGGGTTTCTGTTGGCCCTTGATGTGTTTTTCAGATTTTTCCCCAGTTTTCTTAGCGGTGGTTTTGTGGAGGAAGGAGGTACGGAGTAAGGAATGAACGCAGACTGTGGAGGACTCAAGGGGGGCATTGAATGAATCCCAGCCGGATGGTAATAGCAGGGTCGTAGCTCTGGCCAATTTAGCCCGGCTCTTTAACTCGGTCCTGCGCTGCACTAGGCTAACAATTACTGATAGAAAGAGACAGACAGACAGAGATAGGGGTGGAGAGGGTGGGAGCTTGCTGTGGGGAAAGATGGAGAATGGGAGTGGAGTAAAAATGAGAAACACAGATTAAGGTGGGGAGGGGGGGAGTATGGAAGTGAAAGAGCAGCAGGAAATAAAGAAGTAATGCTCTGAGCAAATTGCTAGGCCATAAACGAACAGAAAGGGAGGGAAAAGAAATCACCAACTTTCTTTAGGAGAAACTTTCCAAGTGTCCCCCTGGATTCCTCCCATAAGGAGCGTGAATTTTGAGGCCATGTTGAGCTAACGTTGTATGAAGGTTGTGCGAGCATGAGCTCCCGTCTCCCCCTGCCATTCTTTCTCCCAGGATTAATTACCGGGTGTCAGTCACAGCCGACGGCTCTCCCACGCTCCCTTGTTCCCAATGGTGCCTTCTGGGAGAGCGACAGGTACAGGCAAATGTAGTTTGCGTGTGTGTGTGTGTGTGTTTGCAAGGAAGAATACTGATATGGTATTTAAGATTTAGATTTTATTTTTATTTGTTTATAAAAGCAAAGCTACATAGTGCAGTTGTTAGGTTTGTATTAGCAGAACAAAAAATTCTTTCTGGGATGATTATACACATTCTCCTGTCAATGGACATCCTGCCCCTAAAGACCTTTACACACCGAAAAATCGCTACTTTTCAAAAAATTGAAATTCCAAACTTTTTGGATGCAAGCTTGTTTTATAACGTACACACCAAGAACTGAATTTTTTCGAAACATTTGTCCTACGAAAATGCACTACGAAAAAAATTGAATTGACGTCAAGCAATGATGAGCTGGTACTGATGTTTCTACAAAAGAAAAGGAAAAAAACGATTCTCGCAAGCAGCAGCAGGGAGAATTTTATTGTTTGATCCAGGAGTTGAAACTGTATCCCGACTGCTTTTGTACACATATTGGGAAGTCAGTGGGACAGTTTGAGCTCTTGCTGGCAGAGTTGGGACCACATCTGAGGAGACCGAGTAATCATTTCAGAGAGTCGATTGACCCGGAACAGCGTCTAATTGTGTTTCTGAGGTAAACCGGATTATTTTAATATTTGGATATTCAATGCTGCGAGTGCGCTTGTTCCTAAATGCAGTGGTCTGATTGGTCAGATCTGTTTGTCTCATTCAAAAATCTGAAAAATCCAGCTTGGTTAGAAAAAGATAAATCCCACAAATTTGTTTAAAAAAGCAAAGCAAATACAAATGAGTTTGGATGATAATATGATCTATATTTCTCAGTTTGTACATTTTTACCAGGGAGCTGATTTTGGGGTTTGAATCATGTTTGAAGGATTAGTTCTGTCTAACACCCTTTCATCAGCACAGTATATATAATTGTTCAATACATACACAAGCGAAAATTTTTCCTTGTGAGTTTTTTTTTTTTTTAGCTGTCTCTTATATGAAAAGCTAAAGAAAACTCAGCTAACATAAGGATGTCTAGTTTTATAGTTTTGAGGTAATGGAGCTGCGTGTGTGTTTCCATAACATTTCAATTATTAATTTAACAGCGTAGCACTGCTGTGCAAATGATCAGCCACCTTTGTCCTGTTATGTTTATGACACCTGAAGTCCAGATAAGAGCCCAGTATCTCAGATAGTGTGTCAAGAATTGGTGTAAAGGTAGTAGGTGTGAGTTAAACCTAGCTCACTGACAAAGCCGCTATTGTGATAACGCTTTGAGTGGGCACCTTAAATTAGAAATCCCATCTGTAACTTGTTCCCATTGTCTGGGCAGCAGATGTGGGGAATAAGGTGAAAGAGCAAATGAGGAAAAGTGGGCGAGGAGATGAAAAGGCAGGGGCAAAGGATGGTGGATGAGTCCTTATCATGATTTTTAATGGGAATGTATTAATAGATTTTCATGGAGGGCTACACTTGGTAAGGGGAGGCTGAGCGGTGGTGCTATTAGCGCAGTCCATTCTGCATCCTTTCATCTCAACGCTCGTGTACTGGGCAGTTAAACAGATACCTCTCCTTACCAGCCACGCTCATTATTTGCTCTCCCTCCTTGTATCCAACCCTCCAGACCTGCTCCTTACATACTAATCAGGTTTTTTTCTTTTGCTTTCTGGGTGAACAGACGGTGTTTGTCTTCTCCATCTCCTTCCTCTCAGCCTCTGCCTCCCCTCAGCATTTGCGAATTTACCGCTATCTGCCAGAATAACGCTGGAGTCGTGTCCATACACGCACAGCCAAGCGCCTTCCTAGCGCACAGTTACTCGTCTCCATTAATACGCTGACACTCAGAGCGCGCTTCTTCCTCCTCGGGCGACCGTGCGTGCACAGCCCCACACGCGGTCCTCCCTCCGCTGCTCTTGGTGTCTCTGTGAAATCATTCATTGCCATTCTCCTTCTCCAAAAATAACACTGATAATTAATTTCCGTTGTGAAATGATTCGTCTGCGGACTGACTAGCTTTCATATTTCACCCTGCATCGATCCCCCCAGCCAGCTCGCGTGCGCTTCATTAGTCAGAGGGAGAGAGAGAGTGGAGAGCAGTGAGACAGGGAAAATAGAGACATGGGGAGAGAGAAAGTGAGAGTTAAGTCAATTACCGCCGCTTATGTTTGAAAACAACGCAAAAAAATACACTAATTACAACGGAGCTGACATGTAAATTGGGATTGATGTGCCAGGAAGTTTGTCACATAGCTGCAGAGCTGCTTCCATATAAAACTACAGCATGTGGCTTTTTATATCAAAGCAGGGATTAAATAACAGGCTCCAAAGCAAACTTTGTTTAAAGTTATTCACTGACTGCCATAAAGTCCCACTGTTAGCAGTGGGCTCAGGCATCCCACCACTTTCCAGCTGATTCGACAGGAATCTTAAAGAAAGTCTGTTGGCCTATTGCATTTCTGTTAGCATTCTGAATTAACTGTGAAACTGGATCCTCCCATTCTGTAATGGACAGGACATTAAAAGGTAACTCAAGAAGCCTCAGCTCCCAATAAACGGAGAACCCAGTCAATTACAAATTCACAACTTATGTATAGAGAGGATTAATTGCCACAGGTATTCATGAGGATTATGACAACTGTCCAGATCTCAGTTAATTTCAGACCTTGATGTTTTTTTGCGGTTTGGTGAATATGATGACAGCCTGTTCCTTTAACGTGTTATTTTTACTGAAGTAAAACCTTGCAAGTTAAGGTTCACCTATTGTGCATTGTGTGTATCTTAAATCTGTAGGCTTAGTCTGCCTTATTAACTCAAGTTAATTCATCATGTTTTACCAGTTGACATAATTATTACATAACATAATTAAGTTGTTCCAAGAATTCTTTTTTTGTGTGTTGTGAACATTAGTAGATGGATGCTGAACACAGTATTGCCAACTTAGCGACTTTGTCGCTATATTTAGCAAGTTTTCAGACCCCCCTTAACAACTTTTTTCTAAAAAGTGACTAGCGACAAATCTGGCTACTTTTTTCTGGTGTTATTGGAGACTTATGACGACTTTTTGACGTGAAAGCACATAGGAGATATTCACCCCTAACTACTACCCTACTAGCTAACTCTGCCAGAGGGCCTATTTCATGTCACTTTTGCCGGTCCCAAGTCCAGATAAAGAAGGAGGGTTGGAATTGTGACATAAAAAAACCCAATAATTGCTAAAAGAAATTTAATTTCTAGTTCTAAATATATTCTAAATGCTTTTAGGATGATTTTTTTTTACTCACTATGTCTCTTTAACAATGTTATTTCTCTCTCCTACAGGGTCTGTTACAATTTCACAGGCATGACCAAGTATGCAAACTGGGCGATGACGTCATTTAGTGACTTCTAGCAACTTTTAGGACAGCCAATAGCGATTTTACTTACTGAGGAGTTGGCAACACTGGCTGAACGGGCCTGTTTATATGTGTAAAAACAAAAAATGATTAACGGGAACACTAGCTGAATGTGCTACGTTTAGCTCATTTAACAGTCTTTGAAAAGAGTCAGTAGTGGGGGTGGGGGTTGGGTTTGAAATTGTGTCCATCTTGCAATAAATTGGCAGAAACCCCGCTGCTTTAAACCATACGCTAACCACTGCCGCTTTAGATAGCTTATTAGCATAAGCAACATGAGCACACAGCTAATTAGCTTATAATTACTTAACACGTTACTGAAGCTACTTCTTAAACCTACAGATTGCTGTTTAAATCATTACAAAAATATGTTCTAAACAAAAGCTGGCTAAACTCAAGCTCAATTAAACTGCATATTTCACCACAAAGCACCGCTAACACATGAGTAGCTAACAGCTTAGCAGTTACTGTAAAAGTAACTGACAGAATAAAGGACAGTAAAAGACAGAATCGTGAAAACGTGGCTGCTTGTATTATGGATTTCTTCTCAATTTCAGTAACCACAAGTCAATGTTATTGCATCTGTGTGCTTTTTTAGCATTTGGCATGCTGCTTTTTACAATGCCAGCTCTCCTCCCTCCCTCTGCAGGCCCTCCGTCGGCGCCTGTGCATCTCATCTCCAATGTGAACGAAACCTCCGTAAACCTGGAGTGGAGCCCACCCCGGAGCTCTGGGGGTCGCCAGGACTTGACATACAACGTAGTGTGTAAGCGCTGCGGTTCTGACGGCCGGCGCTGTCAACCCTGCGGAAATGGAATCCACTTCAGCCCACAGCAGCTGAGCCTGAAGGGAACCAGGGTGTCCATCAACGAGCTACAGGCCCACACCAACTACACCTTTGAGGTGTGGGCGGTGAATGGAGTCTCACCTCAGAGCCCAGGGCCTGAGCAGGCCACGTCAGTGACCGTCACCACCAACCAGGCCGGTAAGACGATGGGAGCTGATTCAGCCGATCCTAACATGGTTTTCTGTGACCCCATAATCATCAAACATCTGTTTAATCACTTATTAACATATATTCCAAACCCTCCTTACGCTTGCTTACTTTAGTGAGTTCAGGGGGGTCTTCTGGTTTTGCAGGAGATCACAAAACATACACTCTCACACTGTGTGAGAGTTTATGTTAACAGAGTGTGCTGGCTCATGTATGATACAGAGCACGGGTTCATTTGACTGAATGCTTGAAAGTACTTTTTGGGGGGCATGTCAAAAACATGTTTATTAAAGTTGTGAATAATTGGGGGGTAGGTTGGGTGATTACTGAGGAGGATGCTGATGGATTTTCAGCAGAGGGAAATGATTTTATGCAATATTTCACTGGAGTTTTGCATAATTAGGCATAAGAAGCCAGGGCTGACGATGGGGGCACCGTGCTATATTTAGCACCCAAACTAATGAATTAGATGAGTGGTATTGATCTGGGGAGGATTCATTACAAATTCTGCTGGATTACATGTGCCTGGGTGCCTGTGTGTGTAATTATTGTCATAGAATACAACCACAGGCTCCCCTTCTGAGCAGGAGAAGAGCCCCCCAGCTTCCATGCTGTATTCAAAGCCTCCCGTTATTTCGTCATTTAGCCATTTTGTGACCAGTTGTTGTGTAAATGGATTTTATGACCCGGGTCTTTTCTCTTCATCCCTCCCGTCTATCCTCCGCTTATAGACGATCATTACCTTGGTCTGCTTTACTGCTCTGCTCTTGGGTGGCAAGCTAAGTGCCTTTTTGTGTCTTCTTTTATCGCTAATTTCCATCCCTGGGAAAAGCGAATATCTTCAATAGGGCTTGGACTGGCAATTTAAGGACACAGTGGCTTGATTTATCAGCCGGGGTCAGGAAGATAGAGATGAATGGATGTACTGCCTGTGGGAGAGCTGCGAGTACTGCCAGAAAGGCCTATGTGGGAGCTGTAATGCAGCACACCCTGGAGTCCGGGCTGAAGGCTCATAATAGCATGTCAGCGTGACCATGCTGATGCACAGTTGCACAAAAAAAATGCAGATTTTTTTTTCTTACAGAGATTCAGTCCCAAACACACACACACACACACACACACACACACACACACACACACACACACACAGAGCCCCCTAAGGTTGCTGGAGGCTAATGTGCTGACTTGAAGTTGTAAGATACGGATGATGTTGCCTTTGGCTCGTCACTGGTGCATGTTTCACAAATGTTCGCCAGGATTAGTTATATGAAGCTGCAGCTGGAAGCTCTATTATAGTGTGTGTGTGTGTGTGCGTGTACTTGCACATGTGCAGCACTGACTGCATGCATGGTGAGAAGTAAAAAAATGTTTTGCAGAGATGCTTGCATGAATGCAGATGATCTACATTTGCTTCTTAAACAATGTCCTCTGTGTGTCTGTGCGTGTATCCGTGTGTGTGTGTGTGTGTCTCTTATAATTTGTGTGTGTGTGTGTGTGTGTGTGTGTTAAAAGAGAATAGCTCCAGACTGATTGGATTTCTTCCTGCTAATGCTCGGTAGGGGCTTTAGAAGCTCTGGTTTCAGCCGCTGGTAATCCAGCCAGTCATCTGTGGCTGTCCCTCTCTCTGTATCGCCTCCCCTCATCCAGACACCGAGGATTACACATTTATTATGATAGATTTATTAGGATTTATAAGTGCTGTGGAAAAGACACCCCCGCCACCTCCCCGCCCCATTAAAGTTCAAATTTCGGCTAGGGAGGAAGAAGTGAGTTAGGCAGGTTGGAAAGGATCTGGATTTTTTTTTTTCGGCACGAGAGGAAAGTGTAGGAAGGTGCAGTGGAGAAAAATGAATTCCGTCAGATAAAAATGAGCAGTGCCGCTTAATGTGCGTGTGTGTGTCTGTGGCCAGGCATGTATTTATGCGCGTACAAGAAGGTCAGATTCCATGTGTCACCACGAACAATTCCACTGTCGTAAATCAGGCGGGGTGTAACCCTTTCACCCGGGCTACAGGAGGAAAGCGAGGGAAATGGGGATGGGGAGGGTGAGATGTCCAAGCTTTGAACTGACCCCTGGCTGTCAATGGATGTTTTCTTCCCCTTTTATAAGATCGAGCGCTCTATATGTCGATGTGTGTTTGTGTGTGAAAGAGGGAGGGGGTGTCCTGATACAAAATACTTCAGGTGGCTAAAAGTGAATTCATGCATAAGGATTGTGTGCGTGCGTGTGTGTGGGCACTTCCATCAGTGCGTGTGTGTGTTTCCATCGCTCTGGCAACAAATGGGCCGGCATACATGTGGAAATGTGTTCTCGGGAGGTGGAGGCTGACTCTAGATAGGTGGAGGGGGCGAGGAGGGAATCTTGTAAGCAGGAGCCATTTTCTCCCAACACCCTGAAAAATGGCTCCCTCCTCGACTCTTTCTCCTTGGCGGCGAAGGCAAAGAAAAAAAAAGAAAAGAAAAAAAGAGTGACTCAAATCTGGCAACCAGGCTCCAATCTGGCAACCACATGTGCAGCCCCTGTCTGTTTTAATGTCAAACTGTAATCGGCCGCGTATTCGCGCAAATCCTCCACCGCAGATGCTCCTCGCTGCACAAATACTCCGTGATGAGCTCGCTCAACGAGCTGGAAAAGGAGAAAGAAGAAAATAAAAAATAAAAATCCGCTATTCTGCAGGGAAGGTTATTTTTCAAACCAAACCCTGAACTCTGTGTGCCTCTGCCAGGTTTTTACCGATTATAATTTATGCATGTTCACAGTGATTGAGTTTTTTTTTTTTTTGCTGTCTGAGCTGTGTGAGATAATGGGGCTAGGTGTGTGTTTTTCTATGTGAATTTCTATCTTTCTGTTTGTATAATGAGTTCCTTTGTGTTGCCGGGATGTGTATGTCTGTGTGTGTATGTCTGTGTGTGTGTGTCTGTGTGTGTTGCAAAGCATTTTTTTTGAGAGAGAGCACAATTCTGAAATAAGATCTGAATATTCATTGCGTCTAACACTTATTATTCCACCGGCGTGTTTAGCCCACGCGTTCAGAGGGGGGCGGTAAGAAATTACAGATCTGTCCCACATATTTAAATTCATCTACAGAGGTGCCAGCAAGTCTAGCACGCTGTGCCTCAGGTGAATGTTTCAATTTTAGGATCTCAAGTTTAGCTGTGCACGATTTGTCTGTATGCATTTGTGCACAGTTTTGTTTTTTATTTTACCAGGTTTTTTGTTTTTGTAGTTTTTTTAAAGAGACCTTAATGGATCTCTTCTTCTGTGTGTGAGCCGAGCTGCCTGGTCGTGTCCATTAGAAGGGATCACTCAGAAAATCTGTCATCTTTATCCTCACATTAGTCGAGAGGAAAATAAAAACGCAACAGGAGCAGCAGAACACGATTAAATCGCCATATCTGTCATCTTCGGAGGGGAAGATGGATGTGTGGATTACCTCCAGGGAATGAAGGCCCGTGACCTCCTCGGGGGTTTTCCTTTCGGAGTTGGAGCATCCTCAGTCGGCCCCAGGAGGGCCTTCAAATTGGCTCTTGCTGCCGGCTAAGATTGATCGGAGGGCTACAAATGGCCGCCGTGTAATTGTTTAAGGGAGACGCAACACATTAGGCCAACAGGATGACACAACCTTGGGTTAATCTATTTACTAAGAGATGTCTGCAATCCCATCCCTCTCCATCACAGTCGACCCCCACCAGTCGCAAGCCCTCTGCCTCCCCCTCCCCTCCCCCATCTCCCCCTGTCGCTTCTTCACCCCAATGAAACTCAATCCCTTGGTTGGTGCTTGAATTCCAGGCCTGTTTGAACTCAATCCCCCAGCTAAAAGCAGGGTTTTGTTAGCATTAGCTTGTGGGCTAGGCTCCCTGGAGCCCCCGCTCAAAGTGATGAGAATGTATATAATGTCATAGATAATCCAATCATAATCGGTGGACTGTGAACCCCTCATTAATCATCCCCACTGTAATTTTTTAAAAGGCAGATGGTCTGGAACGAGTAAGGTTACAGTAATCAGCGAGGGGCAGAGGTCAAAGATCTGCTCCGTTTGGAGTCGTAAGAGCAGATACCATAAAAAAAATGTGTTACCTGGGCGTTAGTGGGAATGTTTGTCTATGTGGTGCTTTGTTCTGACTCTGTGGGCGAGGTTGTTGGGAGTATTATTTAACCCTCTGTGGTCTCGGTGCCCTGAGTCCTAACCCTAACGCCGTGTTATTAGAATATGTGACGTTTGGTTTTTGCAATCAGGGGCCAAAACCAAAAGCAAGCATTTTAACTGACACAAGTATCACAAGTATTTGCATTTTTCCCTCTACTTTACAGGAACTTTGCTGATGATAAATCCATCATGGTTTTATTTTGGTCTTTTTGTCTGTGTTTATCTGTGGAGCTTTATTCTATCATCTCGTGACTGCACTGCTATATCTCCCAAAACTCAGTCCTTACACGAGTTGTTCCTCTGTTTACAACTCTATCTCTCCTACACCTATGGATTTTCTCTTCGTAAAGTCGTGAGCGTGTATGACCCAATTTACGTGTTGTCACACTCCCCGGAGATAGAGGTTTGATTTGTGCAGCGGCGACGCACTTGGAGGGAGGGGGCGAGCATAAGCCATTATCTGTGCTTTAACCTTCACGTGTTAAAGGCGTCTGAACACAGATAGCACGGCTGCTTGAAATATGGCCTCATTATCAGCTGCTGCAGAAAAGGCTCGAGATAAGATCGCTCTCTGGAGCTTTAATGAAAACCAATTGATTTGCTCTCTTAAAGACAAAAAAAATGCAAAGGTGTCGAGCCCATTTGATTTTATTCATATACTTTGCGGTTGAGAAAAGTGCCTGAGACGCTCGTGTCACGGGAGAGCTTGTATCGGTTCTATAGACGCCAACGTTTAGTTCACGCTCCTTCTGTCAAATCAACTGTGTGGCCGCACGGTTTCGCAAGACCCCTGATTCTGAATGACAGCCAAGCTAAAGAGAAGTGGAAGCGATTGCCTCGTGGCTTGTTTGACTTTCTCAGCATGAGCAGGAGAACGCGTGGGACAGAACAGACTCAATGTCTCCAAGGGTGAAAACAACAGCTAAACATATTTTTTCTCTTCTGTTTCCTCTTTCTTTGATCGTCTCACCAGCTCCCTCTCCAGTGACTTCCATCCAGGCCAAGGATATCACAAGACACACCATTTCCCTGGCCTGGCAGCCACCGGAAAAAGCCAACGGGGTCATTCTGGAGTATGAGGTCAAGTACTACGAGAAGGTGAGGGACGGTGCGAGAGATTTTGTTTCTGCTGAACCGTCAAAGCAAAAGCAGCCTCTGAATAAGTTGTATTGTGTTCTTTCTTTTTTTTCCTGTCCCGCTGTAGGACCAGAATGAAAGAAGCTACCGCATCATAAAAACCTCATCAAGGAGCACCGACATCAAGGGCCTCACCCCCCTCACCTCCTATGTTTTCCATGTGCGGGCTCGCACAGCGGCCGGCTACGGAGAATTCAGCGGCCCGTTTGAGTTCATGACCAACTCGGGTGAGCTAAGTCACACTGCCTGTTCATCTTCGTCTTCTTCTCCCTGCAGAGCCAAGAGAGGCCTGATTCCAGCTCCGCCATGGCAGTGTCTGAAAAATTCCTACAATGATAGCATCTCTTACAAGTTTGTCTCTTTCATTGGAGAGTCATTAATCAAAATTGCTGTTGTCTATAAAAGATAAATGATATTGTCCTCCGGCACCTGACTGGCAACTTGAATATCTTCCATTATTCACGTCTGAGTATCAGCCTCAGTAGACGTGCCAGCTGATGTTTAAACTGTATGAAGCTTTGAAGAATGGCACCATTTGTGGCGTTTTCAGTCAGAAGCTGCTGCTAGATAATTCTCACTGCTCGCCAGAACTCTTTAATTGAATCAGTTTCAAGCCAAAATAAATGTATTCATTTCTCTACCAGAGTCTAAGGCACACAAACCCTGTGATAACCGGAGCAACAGCGCCTGTGTAGGTGGACTCTGATCACAATTTCAGATTAGCCTCTCAAACCTCACTAACCCACTAGTGGGTTACTTACTACAGTGATATAGAGTGCAGCCAAAACTTGTTCAGACCCTGAGAAGTTTATTTGAAATTCTAGTGGAGATCCCACAGTTTCCAAAGATTTCCATTTGATACTGAGTAGCAAAAAAAAAAAACTTGGGAAAATCTGTTACAAAATAAATCAAATGCTATAAGACAGAGTGGAATAACATGACCTTATAAAACTCCTTTGAGGGGAAATGAACGAGGAAAACTGTGCAAGATGTAAATGAAAGTCTGTTTTTTCAGGAAGAATTTTACTACTGACTAATGCCCGACTTGTGCTTCAACTTGAAATCTGCATAACCAGGAACTCCTCTTAACCCTGAGGCCACAACCTTCTACGTAACCTGACGTGCACCTCCAGAGAAATGTAACTACACGCAACCGGCCTGCAACGACTCTCATTGGCGTGGAAGGTTTTGGTGCAGGGTTAAGAAGGGTCTCTGATTAAAGTTACGACACAGATTTCTCACTGAAGCAAAAATTTGGCATCAGACTGCATTTGTGGTGGTGAAAGGGGCACGAGTTGGGCACGTCTATAACAATACATATCGTACATACTTTGTGACGATAAATAACTGAGTAGTAATCTCTCCAGTCTGACAGCACGGTACATAAACCAGCCGTCCACCTGCTAGAGCTTCTGTTTATGGTGGACTTGGCCTCTAAGATGATGGTCTGTGTGCCAACGGGTGACACACAAAACAGTTGTTATGCACCCGAGTAGCTTGTAAGTAGTGGTAAACAGCACCATCACTCCAATAATAATATGTGGCCTATTAAATCTAATCTCAGCTTTCTGTGTTTTCTTAGCATTCAGCTTTTGGTCCAGTGAATATATTTCCACATAATGTTTCCCGTTACTGATGACACAGAGGGCTAGAGAGATCCACTAGAAGCCCAGGTGTCCCTTTTGTAATGCAGATAGAGACAGCAGTGCATGATAATGACACGGTCAAGCACACATCCTAATGGGCTGTCATTGTCTCTCAATGAAGCATGCGAAACAGTGGACTTTATGATCAGAATAGTAAAATGGAGGGAGAGCGAGCAAACACTGCGTGGGGACAGGAGGAGGCGGAGGGATGAGGGGTATCGAGTTACTTTGCTCTTTTTTTTGTTGTTTCTCGCCAACCTTTTTTCTCTCCTCTCTCCGATAGTCCCAGCTCCCATTATCGGCGACGGGGCCAACTCCACAGTGTTGCTGGTGTCAGTGGTGGGCAGCGTGGTTCTGCTCATCATCCTCATCAGTGCTTTCGTCATCAGCCGACGGTGAGCTTTGCTACCCACCCCCGCCCTTCCATCGAACTCTGTCCCTTCTGCTTTCTGTCTATCTCTCTTTCTCGGCACACAGATGAGGGATGTCTTACTTAGTGCCGTCAGGAAATGGAAGTCACTCAAAAGAGCACACACATACACACACTAACACTCCCAGACAGCTAGTGCAACTCGCTCACGTCGGCTGAGTGATGACTCGCCACACCGGAGATGTGATTGACAGCTCCGACAGCTGAAGGGATGCAATCAGCGACCCTTCGCTCCCTGTCCTCTGCATCCAGCCCGCTCCCTTCGCATAGTCCCACCCGCCTCCACTCCACCCCGTCCCTCTCCCACTATCTCTCAGCTAGTGGCTGTAATCCTGCCACTAGTTATTTTCTCCTGCTGCACCTTGCTGACCGCCGCGACGAGAATGAGAGAGCGACGGGAGGGTGGACAATGAGATAAGCGGGAAAAAGTAGGAGATAGAATAGAGCGAGGACGAGGCTGAGAGGCATCAGGTGGATTTGCAGTGACCCAATCTCAGGGTGTTAACCAGCGAGCAGGACAAAGCACCATCACACAGATGGGATTACATGCAGATGGGGCTGCCTCACCTCAGGGTGTAAAACCACACACACTCTCTGCATGTGTTTGTGTGCGCTTCCATATGTGTTAGGGGTGCGAGTGCGTGCATCCTGTGGAAAAAAAATAACGTTTTGTGTGCGTGTGGTGTGGCAGTGGGGGGAGGGGGGTGTCAATGGCTTGTGTGTTGATTCTTGAATTGACCAAATCACTGTTTGCATGTGTGTATTGGTGCTGTGAATGATAGGGAGTCAAGGGGGCTGTTGATTGTGTGTGTGTGTGTGTGTGTGTGTGTGTGTGTGCTCTCTTTTCCATGTGATTGCCTCTCTCTGCAGCCAAGCAGGTGGTTGTCTCAGGCTTTTTTATATGCATGTGACGGCCACTGTCATTGTGCTGCCGCGTTCATCCTGTGATTGTGGGGAGGGACTGTAATCACGTAGCCGTTTACCATCATTACACAGCCGTAGAAGAGGACAATGTCTCGCACATCTGGTCATTTCCACCACTGACCTTAACACGTCAGTAATAAGCACAGGTGTCAGGCAGCCTGAGGGATTCGCAGGGATTTAAGTGCATCTTCTCTAGAATTGATTTATAGCTTTTATATTCGTTCAGCTTCTCTGCTCCATGTTGTTGTTATACGCTCAGTGCCCTTCAGGAAGCTTCAATGTTGGAAGATTTCTCACTTGACTTTGATGCAAAAAATATATCGAAGTAAAACTGTTATCAACAAACATCTAAACTAAAGACACTTATAGTATTTATTTGGATTATTACTATTATTGTTGCACTGATATGTATTTTATGAAGTAATCATTTAGTTTTTGCATAATACTAATAAGACTGTATTATTATTACACAGTCTTAAAGGGTATCGGTATATATTTGTGCTATATTTACGTCTACAATTGTGGATTATCATCTTTAAGCATGGTCAAAATCTCAGGTAACAGGGTCAGAAAATGGAAAAAGTAGTCCACGTGTACAATATGAACATAAAGATTACGGTTTGATTTCCAGCATTGTTTTTGTCACCTCACGAGGATTTCTTTAGTAACTAGTCACCTGAAACCCTTCCTTTAATGGGGACACAGGTTCATGTTGGCCCCATAGATTTATTCTGAGAGCTATAGATGAATTTCCCTGAAATATGGAGGAAGAGCTAAGAAGTAACGTCTTTTGTTTGAGGAAGTCTGGTAGCCAATCAAAAACACACACATGCCCCTTTTTCCAGCCAACTGGGGGCAAAATATTTACTTTACAGACATACATGTGCCACACATAAGCAAGAAAATTAGCTTGCAAAAGGTTTTAACTATTTTTAAAGGTTTTATCATAACATGATATTTTAAATCATCTTTCTTAAGAGCTTGAAAAAAGAAAGCAAGTGGACTTGGGGCAAAAGACACATGAACTGGATGATTGAGAACCCACAGACAATTAAAGTCCTTGTGATGAGCATTGTTTAATTATATTAAAAAAGGAATATCCATATCTCATCTTATATGTATAAGATATAATTGTGTTCTAACTTCCTGAGATTTGAAGCTTGATTCCCTGCCATGAGTGATCATTCTGCTTTTCTTTGCCCCCTAGAAGGAGTAAATACAGCAAAGCCAAGCAGGACTCTGATGAAGAGAAGCACTTACATCAAGGTAACTCATAGTTAACACTCCGCCTACAGACCTTATAATTGTAAAACATTATTGCTGTCAGGTATGCTCGTGTGCACAAATGAAGCCCATAAAATGGGAGGAAAAACAAACCGTTTTGAAGTTAATGTACTTGCAACCCAACATGCTCCAAACACCTCATTATCAAGTCATCAGCATTGTTATTTGTGTGCCACAAAAATTTCAAGTTAATGAGCTCCATCTTCATCGGAGTCAGCCATAGTGACATGAAAAGCGCTGGAGTCAGTGTGTGAAGCGAGGTATGGAGAGAAGAAAGGAGGAGGAGGAGGAGGAGAGGATCCATAGAGGAAGGCAGCGTAGCCTGCAGCACGATGGAAATAAAGAACAGATGGAGAGTAGTAGTCGGAATAAATTAACCTTCACTTTTTTTTTTAACTTCCTTCTCTCTTTGCTTCCTTTTTTTTCAAACTTCGTTCCCCAGGAGTGAGAATATATGTTGACCCCTTTACCTATGAGGACCCCAACCAGGCCGTCCGTGAGTTCGCCAAAGAGATCGATGCCTCCTGTATCAAGATTGAGAAAGTGATTGGCATTGGTGAGGAGATTTTTTTTTCCTACATTACATGCATGAATACCTATTGGAAAAAGATCACATTTTGTATTTGTTTCATACAAACACACCTTTCTCTGTGATATGTGGACTTTTTGTGGCCTCTTTGAGATTAAAATCCATTGTTTTCCCAGACTTTAACATGTGGCTTCTGGCTCTAGAGAGGTCAACAAGTTAAAAAAAAAATCAACAGTGGCTAAATACGTTGTCCATGCTATTCCTTGGGCCAGAGAAAAGTCATCCAATGACAAAATAATAAAGAGAAAGAATCAATATCCATTTCCCCCTCTCTCTGCTCCAGTGGGTGGAGGGAGGAGGGGGAGTAAAGGATTAGAGACCCTGATCAATGTTTAAAGTGGAACCTTTCTAACCTACAGACACACACACACACAAACAGACGTGTAGGGGCACACTCTTTTTGATTTGATTTATAGTCTGTGGATCAGAGTGCTCGTGTATCAGCGCTTCACATTTTCATCTGTTTTTTTTTTTTTGCTGTTGTTGCTGTTGTTTCAGGGGAATTTGGAGAGGTCTGCAGTGGACGCCTGAAGATGCCCGGCAAGAGGGAGATCTGCGTGGCCATAAAGACTCTGAAGGCTGGCTATACAGACAAGCAGAGGAGGGACTTCCTGTCCGAGGCCAGCATCATGGGCCAGTTCGACCACCCCAACATCATTCACCTGGAGGGCGTGGTCACCAAATGTATGTCAAGGATTCATTTTTACAGAATGTGTTTCAAATGAGGGGAGGAAAGTGTTTTGCGCAGGTGAAATTGCTTCTGGAAATTGCAATAATGCTTAGCTCACACACATACAATTACTATTATATTCTAAAAGGGCAGTCATTTCTGCTGTCTCCCTCGAAAAATGTAGCAATAAATCACCACAAAGTGCAGTTCTGGGTGACTTTGGAGAAAGGTGAGCGTAGGGACAAGCCTGTTTTTACTCACACGCCTGCGCACTAGTGTGTATCTTAATGCTTCTGTGCGGACATTTTACAAAGATTTCACAATATTCTCAGATAAATGCATATTTTTGAGCATCGTCCGCACGTCCCATCCTGGCTTATCCCCAGGTGGGTTTCTGTCCAGATGGAAGGGGTCCAGCATTGCCGTGGAGGGGGAGGTGGTTGTAGAGGTAGCTGGGCAGTTGGGAGAGGGGTGGGTGTGGGAGTCTAATGGGCCCAGGAACAGGCCCTGTAGCACGGCACCAGACTCATTAATCATGGTGTCAGCTGTAAATGTGTTTGGGGTTAGGGAGTGATACCCTATCCCTTCTCTATCTGCTGCTGCATGGCCACAAAACACTGGCCAAATCTCCCTCCTCCTGCCCTCAGTGCTCTCTCCGTTTCTCCCCCTCTTTTACACCTTCCCCTGATGTTATTTGTTCGGCTATAGGTATGTGTGTGTGTGGGTGTGTGCTGTGTGTGTGGGTGTCTTGTCAGCACATGCCAACATCCGGTACCTTTGATTGCATGCATGTGTGCCTGAGTGTTACCATGTAGCCTCGGCTACATGTGCCTTAATGTGTCGTGATACTGCTCATCTCTATCTGTGCTAGATAAAACTGCCATTCTCACTGTAGTATACACCGCTTTTACACACACACACACACACACACACACACACACACACACATATATATGTATAGATATACCCACACACAAACATGCAGCCCAGCCGGAGCTGAAAGTGAACAGCAGCACAGGCAGAATTGCTTATCACCTATCACACCTCACATGGCGGGGAATGACCTCTCAGACCTCGCAGTGGCGGCGTGAGAACGACAGAGAAAAAAGGCGGACAGATGGAGAAAGGAAGAGAAACCAGAGACGAGCTGCTGCCAGGGAAGGTGCAAATAGAGATGCCGGACAGTTAGGAGCTGATGGATGAGAGGAAAGACAGGGCGACGCAGAGAGAGGGAAAGCAGAGGGTGCTCGAACTACTCAACCGGAGGCTGAAAACAAAAAGATGGGGGGGAGGAAGGAGCGACGCAGCGGTGACAAGAGAGCTGGAGTGAAAGGACGGCGAACCAAACGCAAGAAGGGCGTCCGAAAACTCCCACTCCACCTCCTTCCACTCTTACTTTTGAGAGCTTGACACGAGGTTTGGGCAAATTAGTCCTTCACACTTGAGTGTGTCAGTGGAATCTATTAAAAATCCATTATTTGAATTGCGCCCCACTCTCCATTACAATCAAGTTAAAAGGAATTCTCAATCTGGCCTCAGTTTGCTGGCATGTCCAACAGAGCCAATTAAGGCTTATTAATTATGGAGGAACTCCAAATAGGGACTAAAATACATAAATGTGCAAAAATCTCTCGCTGAAGACTTGCTGGCTGTGGTCCACCATCTTGAAGGCTATATTTAATGTTTCTATCGCGTTGGTGTGTAATTAAAAATCGAGCATCCATTAAAGCTTGAAATCAGACGTGATGTGCTTAATGGGTGATTTACATGAAGTAAGAGCGTGCTGATTTTTTTTTTAAAAAGGTCTGCTTTTAAAACCCAGATCTTTGTTTGCTGCTAACACCAGGGCCTCCGGAGGACATTTGCCCAACGTTCCCCCAATATTGTCCCCCTGACACGTTTTTTTCCCCCCTCTGCCATCTCCCTGTTTTGTTGGCAGGTGGGTTCCTCGCCCAGAGTTCATTGCCAAAGGCGGCAGGGCGTATTCAGTAAACAAGGAATTAGCATGCAAATGGTCTGGAAGGAAGAGGGCGGGGCTGGGAAGGCGAGAGTTTAAGGTCGCAGGTCAGACTCTCCTCAGACTTGATTGCGGAGCTGTCAATCACCGGCGGCCCTGGGGCAGAGGCACGCAACAAAGGGAACAAAGATGGCTGACAAAGACGGCCCCCTCTGCTCTCATACAACTTTCGCCGAACTTCCTCTTTTTAGGGCATTGCCGGAGTGCCCCGTAATTAATGGAGTGCCAATCACGCAGCGGGTAAGGCAGTGACTGACGGCCTCTTGGCACGGCCAGAGACCCGCAGCAGAGCAGAGGAACTTCACCTTCTCAGCGGGCTTCTGCAGCTCTCGGCATTCTGCTGGAGCACTCGAGAGGCTTCATACAAGCTCCCCTTAAGGCGGAGGCTTTAAGTCAGCAGTTTTCTATAAGGCTGTAAGCTTTTAAGTCCACCTTAACTGTGCCACTCGAAATGGAGCACAAAGAGCGACGCTGTTCTAGGAGGCGAATGTGTGGCAGCAGTTTTCAGCATGTGTTGTTGCCGTGGCTGGTTAGGCACCAGCTTGCTGCAGTTTTGGGACAAAAACAAGCGGGTCGCCCTTCCTTTCCCTTTTTTATCTCTCTTCTCCTCTGATATGCCCCTCCCTCCCTCCGTCCTAAGAGACAAAGACAGACAGACAGAGACCCACCAGGGAATGTCCACCCTCCCCACCGCCTGCCCCGGCTCAGATAAAGACGCAGACGCTCCCCCAAGAGAGACAGAGAGGGATGGGGTGAAAAAAGGCCAGAGAGGATTGGCAGGGTTCACGGAGGATAAAAACGAGGAGAGGGAATGAGCGAGGGAGGAGTGGGGGGAAAAAGAGAGCAACAGAGATGAGCTAGCAGGAGAGTGACAGATGCGTCGAAAGTTGGCAGAGGAGAAAGAGGGCAAAGGGACAGTGAGTGACAGAAATAGCGAGTTAGGGGGATTCTGGGTGGGTGACTGTGATGAGACTTTGGATAATACGCCCAGAGTCAGATCATATTTGCATAAACACAAGATGGTGTGTGTGTGTGTGTGTGTGTGTGTGTGTGTGTGTGTGTGTTTATACACAGGTTGCTGTGTGTGTCTGTGTGTGTGTGTGTGTGTGTGTGTGTGTGTGTGTGTGTGTGTGTGTGTGTGTGTGTGTGTGGTGTTTTGTTTCAGTGGAGATGCCTTTGCATGTTAAGGGAAAAACGGGGGACGTCAGGGCAACGGTAACACACAGCTAATTAAATCACTATGGGACGGAGATGGATGGCCTCACACACAGAGACACACATGCATTTTCCCTGGAGAGCCCCCTCCTGCTGCGTTGAGCTGTGATGTGCGTCGTTTACCTCTATAATCATCTGCCTTTCCTTCTCTCACTCTTATTCCCACTCTCTCTCTCTCTTTCTAGGTAAACCGGTGATGATTATCACAGAGTACATGGAAAATGGATCCCTGGATGCGTTCCTGAGGGTAAGTCATGCGTTTCTGTCTCCACACACACGTGTTCATGCGTGTTTGTGCATCGACGCTGATCCCATGTTATCCACCAAATCTACAAGTGTCGGTTCACAAACATTCGCACTTTGTCCTTCCCATTCATCGTCTCGCTTTTCTCCTGACAATGAGGTTGAAACAGGTGAAACTTTGTGTTTCTCAGGTTCACAGCACTACAAGTCCACTATACATCTTAACCAGTTGCACAGTGCTAGTTAAAGGGAGATGTGGAATGGAGTGGACTTTTTATAGGTCTTTTCTAATCTTACGGATCTTTACGCTATAAAGTTAAGCCTTAAGACTATTACGTATTACTATACCCAATGAGCTATTAGGAGTGACCCTTCACAAGTGTCCTGTATTTACTTAGCAGACATTTTTGTCACAGTGTGGACATTTAACAGTAATAAGGATGAGCGTTTCTCTTTTTTCCCCCGCAGAAGAACGACGGTCGGTTCACTGTCATCCAGCTGGTCGGCATTCTGCGTGGCATCGCTTCCGGCATGAAGTACCTGTCAGACATGAGCTACGTCCACCGTGACCTGGCCGCTCGCAACATCCTGGTTAACAGCAACCTGGTGTGCAAGGTGTCCGACTTCGGCATGTCCCGAGTCCTGGAGGACGACCCCGAGGCCGCATACACTACCAGGGTGAATGCAAGCGTGTTTGTGTGTTGGCGAGCATCTGTCTGACTGAGTCAGCGGGCTGTCTGTACCCTCACTTGTCGGCTTTCATTAATCAGCCCAGCTTTCAATTACAGGGAGGAAAGATCCCCATCCGCTGGACGGCCCCGGAGGCCATCGCTTATAGGAAGTTCACCTCGGCCAGTGACGTGTGGAGCTACGGCATCGTCATGTGGGAGGTGATGTCATACGGCGAGCGGCCATACTGGGACATGAGCAACCAAGATGTAAGTCAGAAGCAACGTAATCATATGCAGATAGTCATGAATAATGCACAGGGTGAATTACTGTGAGATATTAAGGCTGGGTAATGTCAAACAACTTTATAAGAATGCTTCATCATTTTAACGTAGTTATACAATTACCTGCAGCTGTGATGAAACACCAGCAGAGCGTTCCTCTTCCTTATTGCACAGTGAGCTCACATGTGTGGTTCCACTAATTATGAAAAAGGGAAAAAAAAAAAGATAATGTATTGTGTAGGTGTGTAAAGTACAGTAATTAAGAAAAAAGTTATAAAAATGACAAAGTAATCAAACTGCCTGAAGTTTTTATAACACTTCTGCTCAGTCATAAAGTCTTACAGCCACATTTATCTGCTATCCAGGTGATCAAGGCCATTGATGAGGGCTATCGACTGCCCCCGCCCATGGACTGCCCCGTGGCACTCCACCAACTCATGCTAGACTGCTGGCAGAGAGAGAGGGCCGACCGGCCAAAGTTTGGGCAAATAGTCAACATGTTGGACAAACTGATCCGCAACCCCAACACCCTGAAGAGGACCGGGGGAGAGACCACCGTCAGGTGAGAGGAAGGAGAATGACGCAAGGGGCTGAAAAGAGGAAGAGTTTTCAGTTCCGTTTGTGCTTTGGAAAATGAACGATGACAGGAAATATCATAAGGTGATGGTTGAGTTAGTGTTGAGTGTGTTTTCAGAGGATATTTTAATCTTAGCAATGAGCAGTCCCAATATTGGTCACACAGTCTCGGGCTTAAACAGTATCAGTCCATATGCATAAAAGCAGGAGAGTGAAAATAAAAAGCAACATCTTAAAACAGTTTTCTCTGTCAGACTTCTAAGATTGCTCTGATTGCGTAATAGGAATTAATTATTAATAATCAGCTTGCTGCCTTGTGGCTGTTAAGGGAAGATCGCTCTGGAATCCACTGAATGAGCTAATTAACATTATCAGGAAATTTGACAATTATATAGGTTTATTACACTTAATTTAAAATAAATTGGCAATTGTGTTACAGGAATTTCCCATTTAGTTTAATTAAACAGCCTGGAAATGTGCTAGTCACACATTCACTGCCACATTTGCAAAGTACAGCAAATTGTATAAAAGTAATACAAATACTGTTTGGATACTTCAATGGGTTATTTTCTGTTTGGGCTCTATGATGGTTCTCGAGGACCGGCCAGCTGCAGGAAAATGAGAGCCGTATGTTGAGAGTGGGCCTGAGACAAGTTAAGATGCTCTGTGTGAGAGCAGAGTCTGAGAGTGAGGTGACTGCCTGCTGTAACACGTGCGTTCACCTGTCAACCTCGATATCACGTTGACATTCATAATTAATGCATCTGTATTTTATACTCTTCATCATCTGCTTCTCGTCTACATACAGTTCTGTATGAGAGCATCAAAATTTCCATAACACATAGTATTTGAGAAGCCACACCAACGTACTGACACGCACACACACAGCGTCCCACTCTGTCACCGCTATTTACATTCACCATTAAACATTATCTGCCAGCACCGTGTGGCTCGTTACAACGCAAACAACCTCCATAATGGCTTTCTCTGCAAACTAGCTTTAATGGTGCTTTACACACAGGAATCTAGGCGCTCTAACAGGGGGAGGAATTACAACGTTACACCGAGTTAAAAACAAACACGACCCTACGTCTCCAACACCATTACTCTTGAGCAGCCAAACGTGTTAAGGATGACCTTTGTGTGTTTACAGACTCGACGCAGGCCGACGGGAGTCTGTTTGAGTTTAACGAGTGTGCGAGTGCACACGAGCGGGTTGCGCGATCGCACACAGATGCGCACTCCTAATAGGATACAGCGAGAGCAAGCGTGGAGTCTGTGTAGAGTAATTAGCAGAGCTGAATCCTATAACTGCAGCTCTATGGTTACAAAAAGGAAAGAAGAGTATGTGTGTGTGTGTGGGAAGGTATCCCTGCGCATAATCTTTTCCACCTACTTAGAAGTGACGACTTAATAAAGAGCCTGACATCCAGTTCTCACAGCTCTACTCGACATCCTTTTTAAAAAGGAGAGAACGATAAAGAGGCCGAGAGCGCAAGACTTACCCAAGCGGGACAAGTGTGACTCAGACTCACCGGCCTCGTGTAAATGTTTCACAGCTGCTGCCACAGAAAGGGAGAAAGGCAGGGAAAAAAGAGGGAGGACAAATATGCTGATGAATATCTGAATGTGAAGAGAGACTCCAAGCACACTGTAAAATTCACCGAAGTGTGCCCAGGTTGTGTGTTTTCCGTGAAATAAGGATTAACTAACTGTATCGGTGACACCAGAGGAGGAGCTGTGTTTGACTTGGCTCAGTTTTTGGGTGCAGCCTGCAAAATACAGACACAAAAAAATACAAAATTGCTAAGCTGACACATTTGGTGTTTCAATCAGGGAGGACAAGCTAGGGAGAAGTGTAGCTCGGTGCTTTTTACAGCTTGTAATTGTCACACATTTTTGACACTACAGCACAGAAGCATAGTTAAGAATTATGGAATAATTCCCGCAATGTGGCCGTTGCTGCAGTTGAGGTGAATTGGAGGTAATCAAAGATGGAGATGATTATGCTTCAAGTAAAAAGCACTTGAACAACTGGCTTTCATCATCTACATGCAAACAGCTGCATACAGTGCAGTAGCTTTAAACACAACGAGAAGTTTGATTTTGTGAAATAACCTCGTCACTTTTCTCCACCTATTACAGGCCCACTACCACCCTGCTTGAGCCAGGGAGTCCCGAGGTGTCCGCAGCTGTGGGCACAGTGGAGGACTGGCTGCAGGCCATCGGCATGGAGAGATACTGCGATAACTTCACGGCCGCCGGCTACACAACTCCAGAGGCCGTGGTCCACATGACGCAAGAGTAAGCACTTTGCCCACAATCATACTTTTACCATGCTGCAAGTGATTTTGAAGGATGAGAAGAATGAAACAGAAAACTAAAGGAAATGCCAAGCATCACAGTGAAATAGGAAAGTTTTTGTAAAAGTAGGCAATTTTATGATTTTTTTTAACTTGTTACGCTATTATTGAGTTTGTAATAGCTCACACAAACCATTACAAACAGTTTACAAAGAGGGTGCTGCACCACCTCCTTGTGATTGTTTTGGTTACTAGTGGGTCGACAGGTCGCTCTTAGTTTCCAAGGCAAACGGTGACTTGTTTGCAAACAACCACTTATCTACCACAGAGCAGAAGAAAAACCTGCAAAAGTGTGGCACAAACCGGAAACAGAGTAAGTGAAAGTTGTTTCAAAAGATGAAACATCTACTTTTAAGATGAATGGTCTCCCCTTTCAGTTTGCCGTCCAGTTTGCAAGTAGTTGGTGAGAGTTTGCAGGCAAGTCAGTGATTTCCACGCAAACTACCCGTGCCCGCAGGAATATCCTCACAACCAAAACAACTGTGAAGAGGTTTTACGGCAGCATTACAAAGCTGTTTGGGAACACAGTTGCCAACTGGCTGGGGCAAGTGGTGTCACTGGGATCCTATTTAGACATTACTAGAGATCTTAGGAGACATGATTAGCAACAACTGTGTTTATCTATTATTTTATGACAAAACGGTGAAATCACATTTTCTCATTAAACCTTTTCAAAGAGAGACCGATTAAAACACCTTCATAAATATAAAGCTAAGCTGAGCATAAGACATGAAAACAGCCAGCCTGCTGTTTCCAAATGTAATAGCTTAGAAACATGTTGTGTTCATACGCAAACACTCGGTTTTACGTCAGGCAAAAATAAGCTAATTCCCTGAAATAATCCTGGCAAACTGTGCTTTTAGAATTTACACTAAAATAAGATAAGCTAGTTTTCAAAAATAATTCAAGGAATTAAGCTACTATGTTACCTCTGCTTCAGTTATATATGAACTAAAATAAACTAAATTAATCTAATCCAGTCACCTCAAATAATTTGAGCACACTGCTAGCGACTTAACTTTGCTTCAGATGTTAAGGATAAGCTAAGCTATGCTAGGCTAGTTAGCTCAAGTAATTGGAGCATGTTTTTGGCTGTTTCCCTTAAGTTTTTAGTCAAGTTAAGCGGTTCCCCCGGTGTCTCTGCTTCATTTTTAGCACACAGTTTCTGTTATCCCCTTATTAAGGTATTCTGTGACACATTTAGAAAGGAAAACATGAGTTAAATTTGTCACTTCTTTATTATATCCACATTTTTCTTCTGCTAAGATTACACGATTAGAGTTGCCGTGTTGGCAAGTGAAATTCCTTATACAGCAGTTAAACTGTCAGACCAGTTTCCACTGGTAGGCTGTAAAATTCATCATGTGGATCAGGCCTCCATGTGCATGTTATTGTTGTCCTCGGTCCTAAAAGGCCTCTTCTTCCAATCCTTTTCAGGGACATGGCACGCATAGGCATCTCCTCCGCAGCGCACCAGAACAAGATCCTGACCAGTGTCCAGGGAATGCTATCCCAAATGCAACAGATGCAAGGCAGAATGGTTCCCGTCTGAGAAGATTAAAACAAAGAAAAAAGGAAGCAAAACGACTTTGTTTCTTATGAAAAAAAAAACAAATAACAAAAAAAGATTAAATATTAAAAAAAGAGACAAATCAACTATGAAGAAATAGTTTACCTCATCCATGCACTTTAAATTGGATCTAAAAGAAAAGAAGACATTGATGAAGAAGAGAAAAAGTGTTGCAAATGGCACCTTTTTTTCAAAAATCATACCTTTACCTTGCCCTTTTAGTTGTTTATGGAGAATGGGACACTTCTATCTGCAGCATTTATGGATAGATGGTGGGGACGGCTGGAAAAGTGCTTCCGAGAGGCCAATCTGGAGTGCCTTTAATGGTCTGGAATGAAAAGTGGAGGAGGGGGATCGTACCTTTTCTTCCTCCTTTTGCAGAGAGTGTTATTTCTGGAACTTTCTCTCTGGAATAATCCACAGAGCATTTTTTTTTTTTGATTTTCTGTGTTTATTGTACATGAATTGTTTCTGTGGGACTCAGAGGCTGCCCCGGCCACCATTGTTCTCTCTCTCAGCTGGAACTGTTTGATATCTTCCAGAAAAAATGGACAATCCTAGCCGTCAGATATAAACAGTGAATCTCTGACAGGCTGGGGGTTGGATTCTTCGGGGGGGGGGCGGGGGGATCAAGATGGCTGTGCAGGGAGGGCTTATTTTAAGGAGCTATTTGTGTTGCGTTTTTTTGTTTTTTGCTCTGTTCTGGCCTGTTTTTTTTCTCCCAGATCGCTGTATTATGTTGCCCTCAGGACATTTCTGAGAATGTCTTTGATCTTCCAGAGGAGCCTTTCCACTCCCCTGTCTTCCCAAAAAACAAAAACAAAAAAAACACAGTCAAAAAAAAAAAAAAAAATCCCACCCTGCTACACCTTCGATAAACACGCAGTTCGGATTCTCCCATCCATCTCCCCATGTGGATCGAAGTCCCATCCCCATCACTACTGCAGGACCAACCAACTCTTCCACACCACTTTTGACGGACGCCCGTTTGGACCACATGAGTTGGTTTTATAAGCGGAATGTGAGATGAGAAATTTGCCAAGACGTTATCGGACACGGGGGGCAACAGGGATGCAGAAAGAGTCATCAGCGTCAGGAAATATTCAAAGAAAGAAAAAGAAAACGATGGAGGATCAAGGTGAGAGTTGATAGTCTTTTGTTTTCATTTTGTTACCAAAACTTAGCAAAGAAACAACTCTATTAAAGAAAAGAAAATACAGACATTGGATTAAAGCTCCCTTTATTATCGAAGTGTGCTTCTAATATAACCACAGAGTGCCTGTGAGAGTCATTAGATCCCCCTATCACTGGCCCCTCAGCTCTAGAAGCCGTGTTAATTAACAAGCAGGTTGCTCCACCTCAGGCAGCAAGAGCGGATCAATAGCCACTGGTCTGTGATCAGTCTGTGGGCCTGATGCCTCTGGCATATTAATGAGAAAAATTTATCAGCGGCTGACTCCCATTGAGCCTGACAGAGCCCAGCAGAGCTCCAAGGCACTTTCCAAGAACGAAGAGAGGCGCTCTGGGGTGTTAACTTTCTTCTGAGCCAACACACCAGCACGTTGTCACGGTACCAGAGGGTCCTAACGCAGGGTCTTAATTAATTTTGGCATATCAGATGCTACGTACTGCTCTCTTGTTGGTTAACCCGTGGCCAGATTTATTTGACTTTTTTTTTTTTAAATAATTTGAGCATCATAATTTATGTGCATAAATTAGCACTTGCCCACAAGGTAATAAAGTGAAGGTTAAGCTTGCACAGTTCAAGGCTTAGTTTCATTTATTCAACACTGATTTATTGGACACAGCTACCACTTTGATACTGGTAAAGCAGTATGGATGTGAAACAGCTGACTATCCTCATTGACAAGAGAGAAACTAGATGCCAAAAGTAATTGTTCATATTTTACGTGAGTACAGTGCCAGTTAATCCCCCAGATGCAAACCCCCGTCTGGTTCTGTGATGGAAGGTTGTTAACACAGTGGAAAGTAAGATGAACCAGATCTAGAAAATGAATGTTTACATGTAGGCGAGTGGAGTAAAAAGTCCCTACTTTCTGAAAAAAGCCAAACTATCTACCACTGTGTGCAGTATTATGGAAATCCTAGACTTCTCAGTGGCATTTAAGTATACATTCAACTCAATTCAGTTCTATTTATGTATCACCTCAAGATACTTTGTATTGAGGCAAAGACCCTACAATAATTCCAATAAAGAGACATGTAATAAATATCTTTATAGAGAATGTTTCAGTTGTCAGATTGGCTCAATTAGGAGTGTTTTCATACTTGAGGCAAATCGATCAGTTGTAACATGCAAAAGATCCTCGGTTTGAGATTGTGAGGAGACACGGATCCCTGGGAGGGTTGAGTCAGGAAGGGAATCTGGTGTAAACATTTGATTTATCTGCTGTGGTGACTCCTTGCAAACAAGTGAGCAGCAGAACCCTCACCAGCATTCTCTCAAAAACCCTGTTATTAAAAGTCGAGTGTTGGAACGTTTGGTTACTTCTCGCTGCGTTTTAATTAATAAATTTTTGTCTATGCAGGATTAGCCAAAGCTCAAGCCGGTGTAGTCGCATTGCTTGTTTTGTCTTAGCAACACACCAGAAGAGTGTTTCTGGTTTTGTTACTGTATATGTGTGACTATATACATGTTTTGTTACACAGGCAGTTGTTTCTAATTATTAGTGTTTCTTATTATATCAGTGTCTATCATTTATTAAAGATCTTCTTGAACGTGTGGTTAATTGTAAACGATCAATCACTTCTTGCCTGTGAAATGTTGACAACTTTACAAAGGAATTAAATCGTTGAGTTTTTGACGTGCGCCAATAAGTTGAGGGCATGTTTCATATATTGTGCGCGCAGAGCAACATGTGGCACGCAGAAGTTCGTACACTTCTTGCCTGGAAATCCATATTTCGCCCCCTCAGGCCGGCAGTTCGCAGACTCTGGACGCTCTGGCTTTGGCGCTCGGTTTTTGTTTAGCAGATGAGTCGAATGTTCCGTGGAGCTGGAGCCGAAGAGCAGGGTTGTTGGTCAGAACTGGATGCCAAGCAGAAATTGTTTATGTTCTAAACCACCGTGACTGATGCAGCCTCTCATTCCTCCTCCTCTTTTTTTTTTTTTTCCTCTTTTCTTCCCAGCTGCTGCCGTCCATCACAAACAGGATCCCGTCCTCGCTCGCTCCCTCGCCGCAACTGGATTTCTTCCCCGCTATTCCTTCTTTGTCTTCCTCCTCCTGGCTACCCTTCCACTCCTCACCGACACAGAGATGACAAATGTATACCCCCTCGAGCGTCTGAGACGTCCGCTGTCCCTCAAAACACGTCAACTTGACAAACTCGTCGCCGTCCATCCGTCCGGCCCCGCGCTGGAATTTCTCTGAATGAATTTAACAGCATCAAAAAGAGAACAAAGGAAGAATGTAAAATAACGGAGGAGCCCCTCTCCAGCTGATGATGATGATGATTATTATTTTTTTCCTGAAAGTTTGGTTTGATTTTGTGTGTTGTTTTTTGCTTTTTTTAATTATTGTTTCATTCTGTTTGCATGTAAAGTAACAAGAGTTTTATTTGAGCGAATGCGATGACGAGTGTGCACGTGGGTGTGTGCGTCTCTGTGAGTGGCAACGTCTTTGAAGTACTATCAGTAAATGTGTCTGTTTTCATGCCACTGTGCAGGAGGAGGAGATAACAGAGTTGTATAGTTTTTGATATTAAAAAAAAAACACACAAAAAAGACTTTTTTCTTTCTTTTCTTTTTTTTTTTGCTTTTTTGTGTCGTCTAAAAAGAAAAAAAAAAAGGAAAAACATTGTAAGGTGTGTCGGTCATGTTGTGCAAACTTTACTCAGCAACAGCATTTGTTAAAACAACTTTCATGGAATCCGACCCATTCCTGCTCCGGCAGCGACGACGGCTTGTGAATGGACACATGGAGACTACAGAGCTGCACGTGACTAACGGTCTCCCCGTGCGTACAATCGCATCAATCTGGACCTCAGACTACTGCGAGCCCGTGACAAGTCGAGGAGGAAACGTTGGCGCTGTCTTCTCCACGTGGATGTGGGGTGGGAGGGGAGAACAGATTCTAAATGACACACCTTTAAAGAAGCAAGTGGCGTGAGGAATATGGTGTCTAAGGAGGGAGAACTGTTGATGTTTTTTTTTGTTTTTTAATTTTGTTGTTGCTTTTTTTTTTATTTTTTATTTTTAATATTCAGACCACAACATACAGTTACAGGTTTAACGATGAATATTTTGCTCATTTATCTCTTTAAACTATACTTATGTGAATGTTTTGAACTCGTAAGTGATGCTTCATGTAATATGAAAGAAACACCTCCATCCTTAATACAGCTCTACTGTTTCCTTTTTTTTTCTTTTTTTTTTTTTAGCAGTGTGTTTTCGGATGTTGGGGTTATCTGTGGACAAAAGGACCTGTTTGGAAATATGCAAGACATGCTGGGAAAGAGAATGAAACTAGAATGTACTGTAAAATACTTTTTTCCTTTACTTAAATGTCAGATGATTTAAAAAGAAAAAAAACAACAAAAAAAAAATCAACAACAAAAAGCAAGAGTTAATGTTTGTCATTGTATGCCTTCCGATGCCATATGATCTAGCCATGTAGATCTAACATTCTCTCAATCTTTTTTTGTACTTGTTTTTTTTGGGCCGGGGGGGGGCATGGTCATGATTTTTTCAGTTTTTTTTCTTTTGCTTTGTTTTTGTTTTGGTCAATGAACTCTAGGTACATGTAACTTATGTCATTTATTTATGTCCTTTTATATCTAGTTTGTAAAATAATAGCCTAAAGTGAAGAAAAATAATGGGGTGCCAAAGTGCATTCTTATTAAAGTAGAAAGTACATGATGATCGTTGTGCCTCTCATTTATGCGTGCACGTACGTGGCGTTCCCTTCATCTGTTGTTGGAGCTATTATGCCCGTAAAGGAGAGCTGATAACCTAGCTATCACACATGGAGCACCGTGTTACATGATTGCATGTAATTGATGGCTTATGTAACTAAAGGAACGGGCCAAGGTAGCACATCAGGCAGATTCGTAGCTGTGGCCTGTCTGTTGGCAGTTTGTTCGCTCTTCAGCACACGCTCAGCAGATATCATGACTCTGGACAACTACTCTCGGGCCAAGAGGCAGCAGCAGGGGCTGCTCACTTGGCATACAGTATGTCTATTAATGTGTGTGTGTATGTGTGTTTAATCAGAACAACATCTGCTTCCTGCACTCATTTCCAGCAGCGATAAAACACTGATTGTCCTCAGTCTTTGATAAGGGCCGAGGGGTTGAGAGTGGTGGTGGGTACAGTTTCAGAAACAGCTTGTGTGAATGTTGAGCCAAGTGGCATTTTACACGTTCCTTGAGCCATCACCAGCGCAAGGCAAGCGTACATTAAAGCCTGAAGTCTGCAGTGGGAGATGGTTATCGGCCTCAAAGGGGGAAAGTTTGCCTCCTTTGGAGATTATTGGCAAGCTTAAAGGGGGAACACGAAAGACGATTAGTCAGAAGACTTGGGTTGATAAATTTTCCCTGAAGCTCAGAATTCTTTTTTTCCTTTTTGATTTTGCATGTGTAAAGCATGCATTTAAACACTGGGAATATTTTGTGCATGTCAAGAGAAAGTCAGGTTTATCTATGTCGTGGGAATTGACAGTAGATTCTTTTCTGGGAAATGGAGACCTGTACAAAATTCTAGGCCAGTGGATCCATGGAGATGTCAAACTATTTCACTGAAAGTCATTTTAAGATATCCACAAGGGAACCTGAATATCTGTAGCAAATTTCATGGCAAGTTGTAAAACAGTTGTCAGGCTTCTGTGCTTGAAGTCAGAAGTATATGCCTGAGATGACCATATTAGGATATTCTTTCATGTGACGTCAATGAGTAGAGAAGACAAAAACAAGCTTTCGGAGCAGTTAGAAACCTGAGATTTTACCCCAAAAAGATTCCTTTTATGTATCTTCCATTTTAACCGTATATGTCAGAAAACAAGGAAAGGCATAAAAGGTTTACTTTAAGATTCACCATCAGGGGAGCGTGAATGTGTACTACATCTAACATTGTTGGCATATTTCAGTCAAAGTGGTAAATCAGCATAACTAAAATCAAGAAGGTGTGAAGCTTAGAAAAAAAAACAAACCCAAAAGGCAGCAAATAAATCAAAGAAAAGTTCTTGATGCAGCCCAAATTGAAAGAAAAAAGGAGAACAGAGCAGAAGAAACCGAGACACTGGGAGTGCAGAAATACTTGGCCGACTGCTGGAGTTGGCTAACCAAAGTCAGTTAAAAGTTCAGGTAATGGCCATTATTCAGCTGGACTGCTGCCTTCCTCTTAACAAAATCAGTGCAATCCAACACCTCTGTCAGTAAAGATTCTCTTTTAGGGCCAGTTTCTCAGGGAGATACTGAAAAAGAGGTCTCTCAGGTACTTCAGCATGTGGCCCTTTTTATGGGTAGAAATAAAACACAGATGTTGGGGGGAAAGAGACAATCCGATATTTGGGTCACTGTTGACTTTATCTACCAAATAATGAGAAGCTTTCCATCTCTAACAAATCTCTAAAGATTACTTGTAATGTGGGATACACAGGCCTAGTTGGTTGGAATTTTCATGTTTTACTCCCAGTGTCAGTGCTGAAAACAATGTTTCTTTTAGTGAATAAGAACATGAATTTACAATCTTTCACCAGGGACACCTATACAACTATTATTCCCAAGAAACATTGTTTCAGGGGTAACATCCAGGGGCGTGGCATCAGAAGGCTCCCTGGTTAACAGACTTGGTACGGTGGTGCAGTGGTGGTGTAAGGTTCTGTATGGATTGCAACCTTTCTGTGACTGTTACCGTGGGTTTCCTCTGGGTAGTCCAGTTTCCTCCCACAGTTCAAAACAAGCATGCAAGTGGTGATTCTAAGTTGGCCGTGGGTAGTTGAAGTGTGCAAAGCACTGGGTATGGCTTGCAGTCTAAAGCGCTTTGTGCGGTAAGACTAAAAAAGCCAATTCATTTCCATTGCAATATGTAAACTGTTATATCCAGACCTTCCAATTCCACCTGTTGCTGGGTGCGTTGGTATAATATTTAATAATATATAATTGGGATGACTGTGGATCATGTGGTAAAGCTGGTCATCTGCCAATAGATCAATCCCTGACTCCTCCAGCCTGCACACTCAAGTATCCTTGGAGCAAGTTGCCCCTGATGCTTGCATCAGATGCTTTATGATCATGTGTGTGACTGAGTAAATGAGAATTGACGTACAAAGCAAGAATTACAGTACAAAGTGCCTTGAGTGCTCAGTTGAACAGAGTAGTACCAATCCATTTACCATTTAATAAAATTAATTTATCGCTATTGTGCTAATTATAAATACAGAACATAAATTTCTAATTCACATGCCTACTATTCTCTAACCTACAGACAAATTACCAAGTATTAACCTCCTTAGCTGAAATATAAGGCCAGTGCCGAGGTGCCTATGACAGCAGTTCCTCTAATGACCACTTGAGGCTGGCTTCAAAAACAAATCCCTATAAGGCTCCCATGTTAAAATTGCAAAACAGACAGCATTAGAAAGCAGGTTAACAGGCTGCTGCATAAAATGGTTTTGGTTTTTGTGGATAGATTCTTCCTCATAATAACACAGAGGAGGGTGATTTAAAATTACTGGTGTCTGCATTTATTGACAGGCAGCTATAAGGTCTCTCCTCCATTATTTTGATTCACAAAACTAGATCTTTTCACTTTGCACTATTGGTGCCTTGAACATTTCTAATAGATTATCTAGTACAGCTTGATGTTTGGTGCAGACCATGGTGAAATTCTTCTATTTGATTTGCCCATTAGCGCTAATTATTTAATATATGAGTTGAATGAATGCTGCTTACTAACTAAGATATTTTGTGTTAGCTGATAACTTAGCATAAGGTAACTTCTAGCTCTAACTAACATGGCAAGACCTAAAACTTTAAGTCTAATAATGTGACTTTCAAGGGTAGGGTAGTCCCTAGTCAGCCTGTGCAAGCAGGTTACCCTGGTCTCCAGTAATTTGCACAGAAGACGTAGACTTGCGTGGAAACATTTGCCAACACTTTGCCAAAGGGGTATGAAACTGTGAAAAAAGTAACACAAACCAGAACACGGGATGAATTGCCTTTAAATTTGAAGTTATCCCTTTCCAAATGTGTTGGTTGCAGCGGTAATGCAACCAGCTCTTAGTATGAAGACAAACAGTCTCTGTTTCCAGTTTGCACTGTGAGTAAATGGTGAGTGTTTATAGAGAAGTTGACTCTTTCATGCTAACTACAGGCAACCACAGTAATCTGTTAACACCCAAAACAAGCACAAAGAGGTTTCTGATGCAACAAGATAGTATGTCACGCTGGAAACAAATGTTGCCTATCCCTGCTGTAACCCCTTTATTTTATTTATCCCGACCACGACAGGAAGGTTAAGGTGAACCTAAATTAAAGTTTATGGGAGATATTGTTTTTTTTTTTAATCTCTTCCTTCTTTCAACCTCTAGCTGAATCTGGTGCCTGAGATGAGAAGTTGTCATTACATCTCCTAATGTTTATGTAGCTACTGTGGCTCTCTAGAACTCGCTAAATTTGTAACCAATTTTTAGGTAAATGTTTTGGGTTTTTTTTACCCGACCATGCCCATTCCTTCCAAAGGGCCTCTGGCTACATCTCAATCAAGCCTCTCTTCAGTAACCCCTCTCACATGCATACCTGACAAAGGAGTCTAAAATGATGACCAAGTCAAGACACAACAAGCCTACCACTTCAGCCCTTCTTCTAGATACACCCACACAATGCTACAAGCCTGAGTGCTTTTGTCATCCAATCTAATTAAGAAAGCCTTAGGTGAAGTGGCAGCCCTCAAACAGGCTTAACCCCCACTGTCACTGCAACCCCTTTTCATCGGTCACTTTGCTTCATAATTCAATTTTCTGATCTAAAAGATGAAACCCCTCCAGGCTCGTCCTCTAAGCCGCTCACAACGGGGCACAACACACTGACAATATTACTCTGTCTTTTGTGTTGTCATTCTAAAGTGCATCCTTAGGTCTGAACAATATTATAATCCTTAATCCAAACACTTCAGTGTTAATCCCCAGTTGCGTCTGACTCAAGAGTTTTCTTTTTCGTTTTCGATCGTTTTTGTTTTTGTGAAGTGAAGAGGCAAACCGAGTGTTTTTTTTTATGGAGAAAGAAAAAAACCCAAAACGAAACAGAAAAGCTGGGTGAAGAAAACAACAAGAACTGAAAGCTTCAGTTGGGAAAATAGCCAGGCAGAGCCCCTCAAACGTCTGAGCATATTGATTGAGAGGCTTCCGGCACAGAGTTGACCTTGTGTCTGGTCCGCGAGATATTACGTCTCCGGGCTTTCGATGGACAACACACATGTAGCATTAGATGTGAAGGGCCAAAAAATGTCTGTGCTGGAACAGAACATGAGAAAATTCTGGCAGCAGGACAGAGTGTGTCTTAATTTAGCTACATTTGAAATCACTCTGTTCACAGTCAAATGTTGTGTGTGTGTGTGTGTGTATCCATCAAGTGCAGCTTTGGTTCGGAGAGACAGAAACTATCGCAGACAAACACCCGAGAACATGAAAAAGCACTTACGGGAGAAGCACCGTCTTTTCAACCGCGCCTAAAGGCAGCTTTTTTTCCTTTTCCTCCTGCAGAGCCTCCTGTGAGTAATGGAAATGAATGAGAGACGACTAAGAATCACAGAACAAAAACAAACACAAGAAAACAGAGCTTTGAGTTGGTATAACAAAAGAAACAGAGAGAAAAAGAAAAAAAAGAAGATAAAGGGAAAAGTGAGCGAAGATTGATCGGTGACAA